TCCTGGGGTTACGGGAGGGGTCAGTGAAGATGTTGGAGAGGTAGGCAGATTTAGCGGCAATAAGAGCATCTTTGTATGCATTGAGATGGAGTTTGTAGCTTATGTAATGACTGTGAGGGATGATTTCTTTGAAAGACGTTCAAGTTGGCGGCCTCGCTGCTTCATTTTACGCAGTGCGGGTGTGAACCATGGTGAGGAGGTCTTGAAAGTAACAGTTTTATTTTTGAGGGGGGCTAAAGTGTTGAGGGGGGTGAGTAGGGTGGAGTTGAGGTGGTTGAGCAGATCATCAGGTGAGCTGAGGGTTGCGTCCAGGGGGAGATTAGACGATAGCAGTTCGGAGAGATGGTTATGGTCAATGGAGTGTAGATTATGGAAGGTGATGTTTCTGGGTTGGCAGGGGTTTCGGGTGGGGGGGGGCAATGGTGAATTGTATGAGTTTGTGGTCGGAGAGGGGAAAGGGCAAGGGTGGAGGTCAATCACTGGGAGGTTGGTAGAGCAGACGAGATCAATAATGTGTCCTTTGTCATGGGTGGGGAAGGTGACATGTTGGGTGATAGAGAAATTGTCCAGTAGGGTTGTGAATTTGGATGCCAGCTTGCAGGTGGGTGAGTCAATGTGAATGTTGAGGTCACCAAGTAGTAACAGACGTTGAGAGAGGGATGAGGCAAGTGTGAGGAATTCAGTGAAATCGGAGAGGGATGAGGTTTAGGAGGCCGGTAGGTGAGGATGACTGTCAGTGAGGGAGGGGCTTTGAAGGCAATGAATTCAAAGGATGATACTGATGGGGAGGGTTAGTTCTGTGATCTGGATGTTCTGATTGTGGATTACAGCAAGGCCGCCACCACGGCGGGAGGGGCGGGGTTTAGTGATGTATTTAAAGCCAGGGGGGGATGTTTGGTTGAGGGAGAAGAAGTCTTCCGGCTGTTGCCAGGTTTCGGTGAGCAGAAAGAAATCGTCAGATTTTTCCAAGATTAGTTCATGGAGGATGAGGGCTTTCTTGTTGAGTGATCGGATGTTAAGGAGGGCAATGTTAGTTGAGTGGGAGGGGCGTGGTGTGGTCACAGGCTGAAGAGGTAAGAGGTTGTCCAGGTTGACAGTGCGGGGAGGAATGTGAGATGGGGGGGAGGAGCGGAGAGGAGGTGGAAGGAAGTGTGTTATTATCGGTTTTTGGTGGTTGAGGGCAGTGGAATCCACTGCAGGTATTTGGGCCAGCTCTGAGCAGAGGGCGATGGAATCCACTCCAGGTATTTGGACCAGCTCTGATCAGAGGGCGGTGGAATCCACTCCAGGTATTTGGACCAGCTCTGATCAGAGGGCGGTGGAATCCACTCCAGGAATTTTGACCAACTCTGAGCAGAGGGCGGTGGAATCCGCCCTGTGGTTATTTGATGGATGGAGCAGCGTTAGCAGGTGGGCTACAATGGCAGGTGTAGCAGGGTAGGAAACCAAAGCGTCCGTCAAAAATGGCAATCGGGTGTAACAAATATGTCGAGATCAGAACACAAAAGCCACAGAATAGTTAGAAAACTATAGCAGTAGAAAGTGGTCAGAAACTCTTAGATTTACACAAATAAAGACGAGATTTTCGGACAGAGAAGTGGCGTACAGTCAGCGCCAGCGTCCTCTCACGCCGTAGTGGAGAAAGCAGAGAATTAGGGGCTTGAAATGCTGGAGGACCAACACTACTGCCCGCAGCTCTAGGAGGGTTGCAGTGCCGCGTTTCTTCAGGCAGGTCCCTCCCCATCCTGTTCTGGACGCATCCGTGAACACTGATGTAGGAGGTCACACGTCCCAGTGGAGACCCCCTCCAGAGGTGATCTGGGGACCCCCAGATTGCCGAGCGCCGTTTGTCTCTTTTGGGATCCAAACGCAGGCTGGAGAACCACCTCTGCAGGCGGCGCATATGTAGTATGCATGACAGTTAAAGCTGTCACTGTTGCCCCCTGTTGTAGCCTGCGAACCGCCCGAAGCAGGGTCGCGCGTCTGCTCTTTGACAGGGTGGCACGGAGCGCACCTGCATCGAGCACCACTCCCAAATACAACGCCTGTTGGTGAGGTATGGGGGTGCTCTTCTTCCAATTGATCGGAAAGCCTTACTTGGTCAGGTGTAGGATCAATTGGGCTGTGCAAAACATTGCCTGTTCCCTGGACCCAGCCATGACTATGAGGTCGTCTAGTAAAATAAAACTCTCATGCCGTGGGCGTGCAGTGGTTGGAGCGCTGTGGCCACACATTTGCTGAATATGCGTGGGGATAGGGAATATAGCGGAACGGCAGCCAGCCTCGTAGGCTATCCCCTGGAAGGCAAAACGCAGATACTTTCTGTGCTCTGGAGCAATTTCTACATGAAAGTACGCTTCCTTCAGGACGATGGTGGTGAACCAATCGCCTGGCTGCACAAGCCCCAGTAACTGTTTCATAGTTAACATGCGGAATTTCCTGCAGGAAATGTGGCGATTCAGGCCGTAGAGATCTAGAATAGGTCTGAATTCCCCTGTCTTCTTGAGAACCAGGAAGTACATGGAATAAAAACCCTTTTCTCTGTGCTGAGGGTGCACAACAGACACAGCCTGTTTCTGCACCATAGCCTGAATCTCTGCTGAGAGGAAACCCATCTCCTCCTGGGATGACAGATTTACCTCTCGCATGCCCATAAATGGAGGTGGGATGCTGCAAAACTGGAGTGAATAGCCCCGTTTCAGCATCCTGTCCATCCACTTTGTTAGCACACGCAGTTTCCATTCACATAACATTGTGTTAATGGTCCTCAGCTGTGGGGCTGCAGCTATGAAGCTGTGATACTCTCTGGTGACCCGTTCCGCCGCAACACTCCCCGTGAATGGAAGATTTGCCCATGGAGGGTCGACACAGAAAGGGCCGATTATTTACTGAGGTCCCTGAACGCACCGCCGCGCGCTCTTGTGTGAGCGCGCGCTCCACCATAATGCTGTCTTTACCACTATGGTAAACTGCATTAATCTGAGTCTTTACTCTAGGCGTAGTGTGTTCTACTGAGGTCCCTGAACGCACCGCCACACGCTCTTGTGTGAGCGGGCGCTCCGCCATAATGCTGTTTTTACCACTGCGGTAAACTGCATTAATTGAGTCCTTGCTCTAGGCGTAGTGTGTTCTCTGACAGTAATACGCCGGCCATAATGCCCCTGTACCCGCATAGCGCTTTCCTTTAGATAGCACTCCCTGCGGTTCATCCCTCTCATCTGCGCATGCCCACTAGCCACCTCCTTTACAGGAGCTACAGCTGGGGCAGCGAATGGGGAATTTGTACGGTTAACATTGTGTGTAAGTGTAGCATTTGTGGAAACAAAAGACACTTAGATTTGGATACAGATCAACCTCATTCTTATTAGAAAACGTAGTGATCTGTGCATTATACAGGGAGGAGGCGGGATTCGCCCTCTCGTCCCGGGCGGAGAGATGTTCTCCCCCCGCCAGTCAGCTCCGTGAAGACGGAGCCCCCCACCCGGCCGCTCTCTGCTGCTGCGGAGCCTGCAGAGGTTGGGTAGCCGGTCCCCGTGAGTGCCGGAACGCCGGTTCCACGGGATGGGCCGAATAGATGGAGGGCGCCGCGGGATCTCCGTGCCGGCACGTCTCCCTTCGTCTCACCGTCGCGCTGCGCTCCCTCGTCTGCAGGAAAGCCTGTGGAGGAGCGCGCTGCGGTGCCTGAGGACTCTTCTCTCTACTGAGGTCTTTGAACGCACCACTGCTAGAGGCCCGGGCCTGTCCTTCGTGCCCTGGCTTAAATAGCGGGCGCCGATCCCCACCACCTCTGCTTCGAGTGTTTGGGGGACCAGGATATGGCCGAGGCGGTGCCATTCACGTTCGCCATTTCTTCCGGCGCAACGTAATTATGGCGTGATCCCCCAGGGACATCACACGGCAGGCAGCGGCCTGTGATGAAGTAAGTTCGACCCTATATCATGTGAAGCCACCGAGCACCGGTCCCCGGGAGAACCGGGCCTGGGGCAGGGCCCGTGGACCAAGCTACTAATTCGGCTTTACGGTCCAATAATCGCTCTGACCTGGTGAGGCGGGGGCATCTCTAGCAATGAGCGAGTAGCCCACACACCTGCCGCCATGATCATCATCCAGGGTGAGTACAGCCCTGGGCGGTGGACTTCCATGGACGCCGGACCCGGAAGAAATGGCGAACGTGAATGGCACCGCCTCGGCCATATCCTGGTCCCCCAAACACTCGAAGCAGAGGTGGTGGGGATCGGCGCCCGCTATTTAAGCCAGGGCACGAAGGACAGGCCCGGGCCTCTAGCAGTGGTGACTCCCTGGAGGTATGATAACTCCTTCTTCTTTCAAACGTCTTATCTCTGCTTCAGTTCAGTTGTTGCCCGCTCGCTGAAGAGAAAGGGATGACGGTCAGGAGGCGAGGCCTCCTTTTATACGTTGAGATGCACGCGCATTCAGGTAGGCCCGCCCCAAGGCCGGCTACATCTATATAAATCTCAGTAGGTGAATGCTGGCATAGAGGGTAGTAGAGTCCAGTAGAGGGCGGAGCCTGTGAGCGATATAACAGAGGGGTTTATGGGATGCTACAATTATCTGTTTGGTATTCTGAGCCAAACACTTCAGAGACATGTTTTGTATACATCTGAGACCTATACTATATTGAAGAAAAACAGTATAATAGGAGACCTTTAAGGCTTTGAGTTGCCTGGCCCTAAATTATTTTTAACCTTTAAATATCTAATGCGCCTCTGTGAAACCTTAAGTACAAAGGCAGGAAAGCCTCTAACTATCTCTCTGTCCCAAATAAAGACCAAATGTGACTTGGCTTTTGGTGTCAGAGCTCTGTTGCTGGCCTCAAGCTGATATTGTGCCATAAATCTCATTTTACAACACTTTTTTAATTTACTTTTATTCTTTCTGTGATCTTTTGTGTGTATGTGTTTTCAGGTTTACTGTGAGCTTAGTTCCAGCTAGTAGGCTGTTTTAAAACATGCTTAGATTGTTGTTCTCTTTTCCAACAGGCTCCAGTCATTTCACTTCAGATAGCAGCTAGTCTTCCAAACAACAACTACTTCAGCAACGCCTTCAGAAATTCCTTCTTTTACCAGGCAAGGTTTCAGTATGTGTTTTTCAATACAATTGCTCTAGTGTGTGTTGCATAACTTCAACAAGAAACAACTTGACTCACTGAAACCACTGAAGTGCCTTAGAAATGGATGTGAAAAATACTTCCATGATTACAACATTTTGCATGGCTGTGCTTAATTTGGTTGTCTGAAAGGAGATAATACTTGTTTTTGTTAGAAAGACGAGTGCAGGAAAAAAAAACCGAGGTGACAGGGCTTTCAGTGTTGCAGCTCCCAGACTTTTTTTTTATTAAGAGATATTTCACAATAAACCATAACAAGTATTGTAAACATGTGGCCAACAGATGTTTCACAGGGCTTGTTGAATAATCTGTCTGAAGTATGAAGCAACTCTGTTAATGTTGTGAACTAGTTGGCTCCTTTGAGATGTACGGAGATGTTTTTGTGAACCTCTACATCCATTATACAACATATGAGTGATATTCTCCGGGCTTTAGGATTTCCTTTTCTGGAAATTCGTATCAAAAAGGAATTGGTATGCAGATGCTTGGATATGCCTGTGTGGATTATGGCCTGTAATACTGATTTTAGTGGGTAGTGAATAATGTACACTGAACAAAAATATAAATGCAACACTTTTGTTTTTGCTCCCATTTTTCATGAGATGAACTCAAAGATCTAAAACATTTTCTATATACACAAAATAACCATTTATCTCAAATATTGTTCACAAATCTGAAAAAATCTGTGATAGTGAGCACTTCTCCTTTGCCGAGATAATCCATCCCACCTCACAGGTGTGGCATATCAAGATGCTGATTAGACAGCATGATTATTGCACAGGTGTGCCTTAGGCTGGCCACAATAAAAGGCCACTCTAAAATGTTCAGTTTTATCACACAGCACAATGCCACAGATGTCGCAAGTTTTGAGGGAGCGTGCAATTGGCATGCTGACAGCAGGAATGTCCACCAGAGCTGTTGCCCGTGAATTGAATGTTCATTTCTCTACCATAAGCCGTCTCCAAAGGCGTTTCAGAGAATTTGGCAGTACATCCAACCGGCCTCACAACCGCAGACCACGTGTAACCACACCAGCCCAGGACCTCCACATCCAGCATGTTCACCTCCAAGATCGTCTGAGACCATCCACTCGGACAGCTGCTGCAACAATCGGTTTGCATAACCAAAGAATTTCTGCACAAACTGTCAGACACTGTCTCAGGGAAGCTCATCTGCATGCTCGTCGTCCTCATCAGGGTCTCGACCTGACACCGGTTCGTCGTCGTAACCGACTTGAGTGGGCAAATGCTCACATTCGATGGCGTCTGGCACGTTGGAGAGGTGTTCTCTTCACGGATGAATACCGGTTTTCACTGTTCAGGGCAGATGGCAGACAGCGTGTGTGGCGTTGTGTGGGTGAGCGGTTTTCTGATGTCAATGTTGTGAATCGAGTGGCCCATGGTGGTGGTGGGGTTATGGTATGGGCAGGTGTATGTTATGGACGACGAACACAGGTGCATTATATTGATGGCATTGTGAATGCACAGAGATACCGTGACGATATCCTGAGGCCCATTGTTGTGCCATTCATCCACGACCATCACCTCATGTTGCAGCATGATAATGCACGGCCCCATGTTGCAAGGATCTGTACACAATTCCTGGAGGCTGAAAACATTCCAGTTCTTGCATGGCGAGCATAGTCACCGGACATGTCACCCATTGAGCATGTTTGGGATGCTCTGGATCGGCGTATACGACAGCGTGTTCCAGTTCCTGCCAATATCCAGCAACTTGGCACAGCCATTGAAGAGGAGTGGACCAACATTCCACAGGCCACAATCAACAACCTGATCAACTCTATGCGAAGGAGATGTGTTGCACTGCGTGAGGCAAATGGTGGTCACACCAGATACCGACTGGTTTTCGGACCCCCCCAGACCCCCCCAATAAAGCAAAACTGCACGTTTCAGAGTGGCCTTTTATTGTGGCCAGCCTAAGGCACACCTGTGCAATAATCATGCTGTCTAATCAGCATCTTGATATGCCACACCTGTGAGGTGGGATGGATTATCTCGGCAAAGGATATCACTATCACAGATTTTTTCAGATTTGTGAACAATATTTGAGAGAAATGGTTATTTTGTGTTTACTGTATAGAAAATGTTTTTGATCTTTGAGTTCATCCCATGAAAAATGGGAGCAAAAACAAAAGTGTTGCATTTATATTTTTGTTCAGTGTAGATGCATACAAAAAGACAAATAAGTACACATGGTGACAGCAATTTAAGAAAAAAGTGACCTAAATAGCATATTAAAGTATGGCGACCTAAAGTAGTTTAAAGTAATGCAGATCATCTTTCATGGAGGAAAGGAGGTAATAGTAAAAGTTGTTTATACAAGAGACAGTAAGCAAAAGTGGAACAACCACAGTCCCTCTGCACTCTGACTAAACTTGTATCCACCAGAATGTTAGGGCAAAACATCTCAGACAGCAACAGAACCCTATTTTGTCTATCTGCTACATATTTTGTAACCCAAGGGGCTAAAGTGTAACATCCCAACAGTAAAGGCTTTATATCCTAACATCCTGCTTAGCCCGGCTGATCTCTGGAAACAAAAAGACTCCGACTAACCTCACCCTACTCCGCTCACAGGGAAGAGAGCTCAGAATAATAGGACGCTCAAAATAGGAAATAATCAGCAATTCGTCAACCCCCAGATTTCCTGCAGGATCTCAAGGTTATAAAGTTTGTTCCTTGGGCGTTTTTGCTTGTTTCACATTCTTTCAGATTGTTGTATACTCCCTAATTGAAGGGGAAAACCAGCTGTAGCCATTTCATGTGATGGCCTTGTACACATATGCTGGTATTAAGAGTTTGCAATCATTAAAATTGTCCCTTTTTCACATCCACTTTTTCACATTTAGAATGTGCATTGATTACACAAATTAAGTGATATCCTTGTTAGGTGCACACAAGGATTCTAGTAGAAGTTAAAGACGTTTGTATTGGCAGGCACTTTTTACCCTCTTAGCTACCATTTGCTGCATTTCCTTATTTATATATTGAGGTCAATCATAAAACTTAATGTAAAACTAATCCTTTAATTTATTTTCAAATAGCAGCCAAGAAGTGTTGTATTGAACATGGAATGCCATGCTTGCTTCTTTTTTTTTTTTATCAGTGAAAGATGTCTGTAATGTGTTACTGTGAAAGGCTGCTCTGTTGACAGGAGGCCGAGCAGACGCTGTTTATCCGCCGCCAGAGGCTACAGTCGGTCGGTGGATTCTCTCTGCTGCTGCTCCACTGTCTGTCCCACATCAAGATTAAAGACATGAGCTCTGACTCTAGTCCTGCCTTCCAGAGACTTTTCTTCAAGGTACAGAGAAACACTCTGTGTGACTCAATAATTAAGGGTTTTGGAAACTGTTGTAGTTTGAAAATACATTTTGATTCCAAGTGTAGCTTGAATTGAGCTAAACTCAGGGAGTGGGTTAACGTTTTCATGATGTGAAGTTCATTTTAATTGTCTTCTCTTTTTGTATATCTTAGATACTGCAGGCATGTCTGGGGGAGTTGTTTCAGGCCATACTGGGCTTGCCTTCCACTGGACAGGAAGCCAATTTGAGTTTGTTTATTCAGGACCAAGAGGCCCCTTCAGGAGTCTTAAAGTGAACACTTTCAGATGTTTATGCTGCCTCCTTGCTTTACAGGTCTCCCAAACCAAGCAGAGGATTGCTTTCTGAAAATGTAAGAACAAAATATGACCTCCCTCTGATTGTTTTCCACTGAGCGTTGAGAATGTATCTTTAAGATTTCTCAGTGATTGCTCTTTCATATATTGTCTGTCAGTTCTCTAGTTGCAGTATACCATTTTTCTGTGTCGGAGACTAACAAGAGTTGACTTGTGTGTCTGTTTGTGATTATGGCATCAGGAAGTGGAGGATCTTCAGAGGAAGCACAGATAAGCGTCACTGCTCTCCCATCTTGAAGGACTTTTAAGGGACAAGAGCTCTGAAGTGTAAGGGAAATTCTTCTATGAAAGAAGACAAAGACATCTCACAAAACATCTATTCTTTATTTTAAGCACTTCAGAGATGAAGGCTGAGGAAAATGCAGTTTTTACACAAAGAGAAGATGACCTAAGGATTGGCAGATGTTTTACAGACAAACATTTATCTCCAAGAAGACAGAATAAACATCCTTGCATTACAAGAACTTCCTTCCTTCCACGGAGAAAAAAGCATGCCACTGTGTGCTCAATGTTTTAAGAACTCTTTTTGCAAGCATTCTCCTTGATTAAAAATATTGTTTAAACACATATATGTTACACATCATGAAGTCACTTTACCAAAATGTATGACCTGACATCTACTTATTGATCATTGCGACAATAAGTAACAAGGCACAGTTTACTCTATAAAGTGTTACAATCAGAATGCAAGGTAATATTTGTCCCACAAAGGCCACAGAGAAAAAAAAATTGGTTAAACATAACTCAGGACGTGTATGCTTCCATACAATTGTGGAATGTTAATATGAAAGTTTAAAAATACACCAGTTATAGAAATAAACTTTACTATGTACTATTATTTTCAATCATAAATAAAAACTGTTTCTTTTTTAAAGGTTTTCAGATTTCACTGATTTGATTGAAGACTTTAATTCTAACCTGACCCTTAAATTGATACTAAACAAAATTGACAACAAAACAGTGCTCTCCTTGATGTTTTATTTTTATTTTACGCGTGGCATTTCTGTATGGGCTCTTGATCAGAAGATATAAAAATACAAACACATGTAGAATCTGTGTTTTTACACATACACACACACACACACACGCGCACTCACACTCTCTTACATCTGTTTTTACTTAGGGAGTCCCGTGTGTGGGGGATGGGAAGGTTAAAGTAACAAAGGCATTGCTGAAATTCCAACTCATGTGCTGGAAAAACAGTCCTCATCAATGTTGTCTTCACTTCGTGGCTTTGACCGCGATGATTATGATGATCATAATTATTCCAAGGACAAGTCCGACGACATTGAGGGTCTTGGCTGTCTTTGATGCACTTGCAGCTTCAGTTGATTCTCCAACAGCATTGGCATTTTGTGCCTTTGAAAAGCAAGTGTCAGAAGTCATTTGTTAGAAAAAAGTAGTTTGACTGAAGTTTAAATAATCATAGCATTTAAAACAAACCTGCCAACAATAGCAAAAACAGGAAAAATAATGAACTCACCTTACAGGAGCAGACAATGGCAGCAATTCCTAGAGGCAGACAGCAGCATATGGTGTTAAAAATGGACCATCCCAGGTAAGTTGGAACCGCAGCACGGGTCTGGCCTGATTCCATGGTGTCTCTTTGTTGCTCTTTGAGTAAATGAGAGTTATACGTTGGTTGGCTGATGCCTGGATCCAAATGCTGGTGGGGGATGTGACCTAGACCGTTTTACTCTCCTTGGGTGTGGTTTAAAGAGTTGTTTGTGCGGAGCCAGAGGAGGGAAAAAAGAAAGAATCTGACATTCAACGGAAATGGGTGTTTTTGTGGTGTGACAGAGGCTTTAGTCATTAGTTGCTTGGAAGTTAGCTGCACGACATCTCTAAAAGTATTTTTTTAGAACTTTGATTTGACTTGCTTTTACATTCAGCTTAACACACGGTAGATGAGCTAATTTTGTATAACTGTGGACAGTAGACAGTTATGTTTTTTATTTTCATGCAGCTGCAAGTAATTCCACATGAGACCCAACACCTTCAGACAAGACAATGACTTCTTTCATAAAACACTTTGGGCATTGCAAACTAAGAAATGTGTATTTTGAACAAAGATTGGCAAAACATATATATTTTTCCATCCAAGTTTGGGTCATGCCAAGTCCAATAATATAATTTTCACAAAGATTAATTCCTTCATTCTTCTGCAAAGTTGAACGACCAAATAATTATACTTTCTCAATTTTGCAGTTTTGAGATCTAACTTTTTCACTCTTAATTCGATCTCTTGATAAGCATGAGTGTTTTCTGTTGTTTTTGGAATAAAATATGAACAACCTCATAGCTAATTTCACAACAACAAAATACCATAATCAGAGCCAATTCAGTTAATTTATTTCTCTGCTAGAGAGCATTTTATTCTGCTGGCAAACAATAGAGATTCTATTATTCTGAACAGCAATTTAGGATATTTTTGATGAATCAGCTGTTAATGTTTGGGTGTATAAGAAGGTGCCATGCTCGAGTACACTGCAGCAGCTTCCCCTGAGTGAGCACAGCTGACAGACCACCACAGCTTACTGCACCAGGTAACGGCCTAGATTTATCAAGTCTCAGTTGTAGTGCTCGTAAATCAGATGTGCATGGTAATATCTGAACCATGTATGACAGTGGGCTGTAAGAGACGCATGTTTGCATTCGGGGAGTTAGAGTTTGGCATAAACTGACTGGAACAGTGATGCTCATTCACCTTGTTCAAGGTCATGCACTGCATTTAGTCCTGAGAAGGCTCCTTGTTTTCACAGCTAGAGCTGATTCTCTGACAGTATTAGCATGGTGTGCCTCTAAAAGGAGACATCAAAGAATTAGCTAGAAACAATGTGTTTTACTGTGGAAATTCAATCTTCACATACAGTTGAAACACTTTTTTACATTTGACAATTTCTTGTCTAACTCCAGTACCTGAGAAATATAACTTTGACTGAGAAACTATCCCACATTCTTTCTATGTTTTCATATCTTGTTTTTTTGTTTGTTTTTACTTGCATTAGTGTTTCACTTGTGTCAAAACTGTTAGCTCGCCAAACCAGAAACTAAGTTTAGCTTGTGGTGCAGTTTTGTAATGTGGTTAATCTTTTGTGATAACCTCAGAAGAAAGACTTGAGCCATGAGCAGAGGCAGATAAAGAGAGAATTCAGTGACAGCATTGTGCTGCCTTTTGTTAGAGTCGGGAGGGCTGATAATGTATTCCGGCAAATTACTCAGACCTACTAATTGACCTAACAGAAGTTATTGAGTCTATGTACGTTTACTGCTTGGCTCAAATCCACCAACGTCAGCAAGATCTCACCTCTATTAACTCCTGGAGAACCAGGTTCAATTAACTGCGGTTTCAATTCAGACGACCCGCTAAATCCAGCCTGTCCTCATACAAAAAACGACCATAGGTCGATTGTTCAGCCCCCCAAAAGGCTCGTTCACATCAAGCACGTCAATTTGTACACGTGACAGCACCGTGCATTCATGACAGCATGGTACTGAATTGTTAAATGATGGATTTTGATATTAACGAGGCGGCCGCAGCAGTTAGCGGCTAGCTAGTCATTATGCTAATGTATACATCAATCATTATGCACTTTTATATTACGCTGATGTAACAGGATCTAGTGATATCCAAGCAACAGAGCTTAATTTACGGTGATACTTATGTGGGTTGTACATGAAACCACTTGGTAATATATAAAAATATATGTATTTTGAGTTATGATCAATTGTGAGTTAAATCTTTATCTAAACAGTAAAGCTGTTGATGGATTACTGTGGTGGAGTTAAAATAACAATAGTCTATTTCTCTTTGAAATGTGATGGAGTAAAATAATAGTAACCGTGATTATTCATGTTAAGTACTGTTAACTGTGTTCTTATTCTCGCGTACAGGAAAGAGAAGCTTAAAAAGGAGACTAAATGGAGTCTGAGATTGTTTCAAAATTGGTACTTTAATTAATAAAAAGCGTGGTAAAGTCACAAACAGGATATTGTTCGACAGAAAAGCAGCTGTCTCTGGCTCTCGCTAGCAGAGAAAAGAGGCCGAACCCCTCAGGTCCGGTTGTTTATATATCCTCTACTGGCTCCTCCCTACGGAGCCCTGGAGGGTTCATAGAGAGAAAAATAAATAAAACGTGGCCACGTTTTACTTTCTCGTGCGCACGCTTTAGTAACTCGTGCGCACGAATTACTAAAGCGTGCGCACGAGTTACTAAAGCGTGCGCACGAGTTACTAAAGCGTGCGCACGAGTTAATAAAGCGTGGCCTCGTTTTGTGTGTGTGTGTGCGTGTGCTGTTCGTGGTAATTTGAAAACAAATGCCGGTGGTGTCGGATACACACACACACACACACACACACACACACACACACACACACACACACACACACACACACACACACACACACACACACACACACACACACACACACACACATAATGCGCCCCGGTGACAGGACATCTCCTTCATAAAGCGAGGGGGAATACTCAGTTCGATGTGTGTATAGGTGTGTGTGGTTAAACGTAGCAGCCTCGATCTCTATTCAGCAGTTCTAGTGAAGTAAACAGTAAAAGGCACAGCTCTTTGCAGCTGGTGCTGCTCTTCTCAGATTCTGCTGAGTTACACGTTACTGCCTCCAGTGCCCTGTACGACGAAGCCAGTTCAACAGACCCTGGACCTGGATATGTTCGATTTACCCGGCTTAAAGGCCCTGTCACACTGTCCCGATATTGACACCCGATGGACACACGAATATGGAATTGTGAATTTCGCACGAAGATGGCCCCGAACCACACACGAAGGCAACATTTACATTACATTTAAGACATACAACTGCAATGAAAGTACCAAAAACAATTGTGTTACAGTACTATGATACTGTACTGATATCTTCAGACTTTGTTCTTTACTTTATCCGTCGTTATATGTATACAATATTACGTTTTCTCCGTAATGTTGTTTCCATAACAACAACAACTTCCTGTCAACTGTCCTTCAAAATAATATATTATATCCTTTTTAGTTTCACAGAACACAAATTGGGTTATTTACATAATATATTTACATGATTTTGTTGTGCAATAAAACAACCCGATGGACACACGATAAAGGAAATGTTCAAATTCGGCTGTGATCGTAGCAACATCGGGCCATTCGTGAGGGCATCTTAAGCCATCGTATGACCGCCGGTGGAGTTTCTCAGGCTCCGGCAGCAACTTCGTGAGCGGTGGCAAAATCTTTGGCATGCCAAAAAATGGCCGAAGGACCTTGCGAAGGTTCATTTTCGTGTTGAATTCGTGTGTCAATTGTGCCCTTCGTAAGGCCATCGTGAGGGCATCTTGTTATCATCGGTGCCATCGGGCATTCGCCCCGATCAGAGTGAGGGTGAATGCACCGATGATAACACGAAGATGACACGATTTGACAAGATGCCCTCACGAGTGCCTTACGAAGTTGCCGCTCACAAAGTTGCTGCTCACAAAGTTGCTGCCGGAGCCTGAGAAACTCCACCGGCGGTCATACGATGGCTTAGATGCCCTCACGAATGGCCCGATGTTGCTACGATCACAGCCGAATTTGAACATTTCCTTTATCATGTGTCCATCGGGTGTCAATTTCGGGACAGTGTGACAGGGGCTTAACTGACCCTAACAAACGCGATGTCGATAAGCGGTCCTACGAAGCTGGTTATCAACTCAGTAAATCAACCAGGGTTTCTCTGTCCGGCTGAGAGCGCGCTCAGGTGAAAGGGACGGGGTTAGCAACATTTGACCAATCACAAAGATGGAGACACGTGCTGACAGCGCAGCGTCATACTTCATGAATGAATAGTGTAAATAGCAAATCCTGCTTCGTAGTACAGGCCACTGGTGCCGCAGAGATTTTCCTTCTATAAAACAGCTGTGGGCAGCAGATACTGTGAGTCACGGACAGGAATCCCTCAATTGAAATAAAACGAGGCCACGCTTTATTAACTTGTGCGCACGCTTTAGTAACTCGTGCGCACGAGTTACTAAAGCGTGCGCACGAGAAAGTAAAACGTGGCCACGTTTTATTTATTTTTCTCTCTATGAACCCTCCAGGGCTCCGTA